TAGGTTAGGTGGTTTGGATAGGTTACGTTAGGTTAAGTTAGGATAGGTTAAGTTACGTTAGGTTAGGTTACGTTAGGTTTCGTTAGGTTAGGTTACGTTAGGTTAGGTTAGGTTAGGTTTGGTTTGGATAGGTTACGTTAGGTTAAGTTAGGATAGGTTAGGTTACGTTAGGTTAGGTTACGTTAGGTTAGGTTAGGTTAGGTTAGGTTAGGTTTGGTTTGGTTTGGATAGGTTACGTTAGGTTAAGTTAGGATAGGTTAGGTTACTTTAGGTTAGGTTACGTTAGGTTAGGTTAGGTTACTACCTTGAGGAGTTTCATCTTCTTATCCCTGTCCTGCTCATTTTCCAGTTGAACAGCGATGGTTCGCAATTCCTGGGGCAGACTTGTGTTTAGCGCAAGAATGCTATCATCTGCAACATTGTTGAATGTTCTTTGTTTAATCCTACCTTCAGTAATGCAGAGCACATAACGAAATTATAAGATGATCAATGAACTGAAAAGGATACGGAATTAAGCAAATGCAGACTAATTTAACTCGCTGTTCTGGCATTTGCCTGGGCAGACTTAAGTCATTTGATAAAGCAGGAATAAAAGAAATAATATAAGAAAGAAAGAAACAACCAATGGACCTTCTGTTATGCTTCGTTTGCAGGAAGCTCGTGGATAAGATTTATGCCGGCTGAATTACTGTCCGCATAACGGACCAGCCCCTCGGCTTTGTAAGTGCTGTTCTGACTAAGAGACTTACTGACACTCACTGATCAACTGATTGGCTATCTGAGTTACGCTAATTTTACAACCCATAAACTGATTGACTTCATCTGGCTAATTCATTCCCTTATTGAATGATGATATCATGAATCAGTCACGGCTGATTGACTCCTTAAATGATTACTGAGGATGGAAACAAATGCTACCAGAATATGGGGAACATATTCAAACATAACGTGTATTATATGTAAAATGTCACGTAGAAAAGTACATTTAAACTGATATTTATGTGGTTTCCGATATCTTGAAAGTTTAAGCCTACCCATAACTCTGATGACACCAGAACTGAAGTTTGATTCACTCGCTCCTTTATTACGATATTTGGTGTTTGTTTGTGGAAGTGCGCGATTTATAACAGAACTCATATCGATCATTTTAACTTTTTCCACCGTACCTAAATTCTTCCCTGTCGAGTTCAATACTCTGTCATGTAGATAAACAAGTGTTGAGTGCTCTCTCTTAAAGTTCTCCTGAAACACAAACATGCGTAATGCTTCATTTTATAGCCAATTTTCTATTTGCATTGGTTGCTGTTGTATACATCATTCTAGTGGGTATGGTGTTCATTTATTGTTAGATACAGATACAATGTTTTAAATAAAAATGTACTACAGACATTATCCTGCAGAGACCAACTGATTTTCATTTTATTTCATTAAATAATCATTATATATTAAATATTGTCCGTCTAATCACAATAAATTCTTATTAAATATTAAAATATTACAATAATTAACATTTAAAATATTTAAAATATTAAATGATGTTCTTTATCGAAATATTCGATGGTCTAATGCAAATCGAATATTTCGATAAAGAACATCATAATCATATCAATAAACACGGTGGAACCTCGATATTACGTAGATTTCAACGGACAGCTTCATTATATGACATGTAATCATATTGGGGGGCACATGATCACCCCCCCCCCCCCCCCCCCCCCCCCCCCCGCGGTATACTGAGGTTACAGTATACTTGAAATAAAAGTTGTAGATTTTAATGAGATTGAGATATCATGTACTAGTTTTGCGTGTGGTGAGCCCTTTTTATGAGAAAAGGGCGACTTTGATTTCTGATTAATGTAAATTAGGGGTTGGAAAATTACGGCAGATTCCGAGTTTTGCCCAAAAGCATTCAGTGTATTCCTTCAACTCACTACCTCTTGAATACCAAAATTTCATAAATATTTTTTCAATACTTCCAGAAATGAAATGTGTAGATACGAAAGAATATGAAAAATCACTACTCTGAGTGTTTTAATTTCAAGCGTTTAACATAAAAAATACACAAAATAAGAAATTCATTAGATATTCCCACCTGTTTTTTAATTAACTCAGTTTGCATTGCATAAATTTTCTTCTTCTGAGTAAGAAACTGTGCTTCTAATAGTTTTGGGTCCTCATTTGCCATGAGAGGTCCTTTCGTTTTGTTTGTTTTTGGAGCTGACTTGTTTGGTTTAGAAGGTCCAGTGGCCTTCCCGCTCATTAGCGCATTTCGTGGTACATCAGGTTTCGTGGCGTGGAAAACTTCTGTCGTACCGTGTGGCTTCATTTTTCCATCAATCTTACTTACTTTATCTCTTTCCAGGTTATTTTCAATGTCTACCTGAAAGATATAAGATTACAGGTGACGTCTTCTAGACAAGATAAAATATACAAATGCACATATAATTTATCTGTTTATGAGCAAAATCTTAAATCTAAAATTCGTGTTACTTATGTACACTATCGTTACTGAGCAATGTATATTTTTTTATTTCGATTTGTTTCTGATAATCTTATGGTATGGTCAAATTCTTTCCAATTTGTGACAATTATTCCTTCCAGATAACTTCATAAATGTTTTTTTAAATAACTGAAGGTAACGCTCCATATATTGTTAACATCATAAGCATAATACAGAGATATGTCAGATTCGTGCTCCATCCCCATCATCCCCGAACCCCCGG